TCACAGCACCATCAAGCGGACATAATTTTAACTGACTACACGTCTTGCCATCTAGCAGGGAATCTGTAAAATACTTTCAACGTATAAAATATGCAGATTATAGATGGCGTTCATGTATAGCCCACGACATTCTTCTTACGTACATACTAGATGACGGAAAAAAATTCTTTATTGTGGAAATGAAAGGCTTTGGGGCTTCGAAGGAAACTCTGAAGTTTGTGCACAAATATTGTTTGAGCCACTCGGCATAAAAATAATCAAAACCAATAAACTGTCCCACTATAAACCATTAGGGTGAGGGAGTAATGCTCCTACCCATCCTTAACTTCAGCACTAGGCTGGAATTAAAACCAGTAAAGATCAAAACGTATAAAAATAGATAAAGAACTATGATGCTTTTTCATTATCAGATGCTCTTAACGGACAATAAAATGTAACTAAATAAAATCAAAAATATCTACAACTAAAGCAATGACAATGAACGTGAAGAAAATCCAGTAGCAATATTAGTAAATGGAGATACAACAGAACATGTATCAAAATGTAAATGTCCAGGATACAGCTTATCTGTGTTCCAAATCAATTCATTTAGAGCATGGGTGCATTAGGAGGTTTTGATTATATTTAGGACAACAATGGTTACATAATCATGCCTACACCGACTCTTAAACACGTAAATGCTCCACGCATAATAAAAATCAAAGACAGGAACAGGTCAGATATATATGAGATTTTTTAAAGCTAGAATGTAATGACATCTAGAGATAAAATAAGAAATTAATATACACGTACATACAACAGAGTTGGCAAAGGAAAATATAACTCAAGGGGTTAATGTCTGCAAAGTCAATGTAAAGCAACTTGTAACAACAATGTACCTTCATAGACTTGACGACGAGCTATATATTTATAAACGTATTTATGAACAAGTTATTGCAGCTGTTTGAGACTAGGGTGTAGAGGAGGATATTTGGGCCTAGGTGAGAAGACGATGGGGCATTGAGAAAACTGCATAGTGACGTACTTGTCAGGGTGATTAAGTCGAGAAGAATGAGATGGGCTGGGAATGTAGCGCGCATGGATGGGGCAAGAAGTGTGCACCAGGTATTGGTTGGGAAGCCTGAGGGGAAGAGACCACTGGGGAGACCTAGACGTAGATGGGAGGATAATGTCAGGCAGGAGGAAGCCTGAGGGGAAGAGACCTCTGGGGAGACCTAGACGTAGATGGGAGGATAATCTCAGGCAGGAGGAAGCCTGAGGGGAAGAGACCACTGGGGAGACCTAGACGTAGATGGGAGGAAAATCTCAGGCGGGATCTTTGGGAGATAGGAGTTGAAGGAAACTGGATTTTGATGGCCCAGGCCAGGGTCCGGTGGAGGGCTTTGGTTAATTCGGTGATGAACCTTAGGGTTCGGTAAGCCAAATAGTTAGTTAAGTTATTTGTGAACAAGATTTGGAACGCTCATAAAATAAGTGGATTTATCACTTTTGACTTCAGAACAGGTCATAACAGCCCAAACCTTGTTTAAAAGAAGAATATTCTGAATATATTTAGTACGCATGTAATGTTCATAAACATTTGTGTTCTAACGTCACTGTTGTAATACAAAATACGTTTTCCAAGAAACATTCAACGCGTCTATGAGACGTGAGTGTGTGCAGTATGAAATAATGCAAATAGTTAAATGTCACCGAGACATTATCGAACGAATCGGGCGAGTGTTACTTATTCGGGAGATCTCTATAAAAATCTCGGGCCGGAAACCCGATATCCCGATTTAGGTTTTCCTCAGTTTTTCCAGGGAAATGTCATGAAAGTAATTTAACATTTTTATCATAACTCTTTTTCATTCATAGAATATTCCATGCAAAAATTCACTGCATTTTATCATTTTCACATGAGTAGCTGTAAACTTATCTCAGAAATGTCTCCCCTTTGCTTGCTAGGGGTAGATAATAGCAGAAGTCGTTACTATATATAATACCTATGTAAATTACGTTTCAGGTCAGACATAGCGAACTTTTTACTCAAAGAACAACTTTTTTTAGAGGAATGAGGTGATATCCAGAAGAGACTGTGTGTACCACACTCCGGAGGCCAACATCAACGATTTGAAGGACAGAACTGCAGTTGCTTATTCAGAACAGACTTTGAGTTTTTCTCTCGCAGATGACGCTCAAACAGTGTGTCCGCGTATTTTCATAATTCACGAGTAAATTTGTAGAGATATTTTATATACATCTTTTTAGAGAGATAATACTAAAAACTTAAGAAGTCAGTATAAAAATGAATGTGGGATATGGAATATACAGCAAGGAAGGTATTGAATCCCCCAGAAAGAAATGTACATGCTAGCGTCGATCACGAGTTGAAATATTACTTTGTAAGTTCTGTTATCTTTGCTGTACGAAAGCGTTTTATGGAAATGCACCTAAATAGACATTACAGATTCTTCCCAGAATGTAACTGTACATTTTAACAGTACCGTCTGTGTTACATTTAATTTTGGTTACCTTATTGTATGTAGTCAGTGCAAATATTTACGTAATACAAAGCGGAGAAGGTACTATTTGTAACACAATGGAGTGAATTACAACAGATTATGTAATCCCTTGAACACTGCCACGGGAATTCTTTTATATGTCATAGTCATTACAGTGTTTGAGAAAACGTATAATATTCTAGAAGAATGCATATTAAGTTTTCAAGTATAGGCCTACCTAATATTTATATATGTCCTTTAGCTATTAAGTTACAATTAAATAATAATCTGAATATATGCCTATGCATGAGAACATATGCATCTAATAATAATAATAATAATAATACATGTTAAATTTTTGTGCGTTCATTGTTGGGGGTATAATTTGGAACGAAGTAGTGTTTGCCCGTCCACGTATTTTATCTCCGAAACTAATTGTTGGATTTCTATTAAACTTGGCATTGTGGTCTATACTAAACTTTGTAAAGTTAATTTAATTCCGATTCATACCTATAGCAGCTCAAATCTAACATCTCAAATCTCACTAAGAGAGTCGTGTTGAATCTGACTCACGAAGGTATAGCCTATAAACTGTAGATTGATTTGTAGAAATCCTACGTACCTCTCAAACTGCATAAGTCGAGCCCAGTCAAGTCGAGCTTAGTTTTCACGATTCAAAACATGCGGAATGTTCTATTTTTCGTCAGTCAGTTCCAACGAATTTGAATCTACAATTCAAGATGGATATTGATAAATTACTAATCCTGGTTAAAATTATAAAGAGATTTACGATTCATCCGACAAAAATTATACCTACTCTCCCCACTAGCAACCGCAATCAGTAATAAACCTTGATCGGATACGGCAATACTTCTGGATCACCTCCAGACACAACTGTGTTGTCTACTATTTCATCTCTGTCATTCTGTGTTCCATATCGAATAATCGATTTACAATTGGAACAGTTCGATATGGAACACAGAATGATATTTTAATTATTTTAATTATCTTATTTTAAATACATTGTGATTTGACGGAATAACCAAATAATTTAATTTTAATTTAATAAGTCACAATATGACGCAACTACACTATCTTAAAAATTATAGGAACAAAGATGCTGGTGCAGTAAAATGATATTAAACAACTATGTACTCAAGCGAAATAATCAATAAAATTTAGTTGCATCCTCGAATAACTCGCTGATGGCGATAGAAAAGCTATGTATAAACATTATCGATTATTTATACAGGACTTCGAGTCAGGATCGACTCAGAAAGAATCGATTTCGTTCCATTAGAATCGATTCGACTCAACGTAGAATTGATTTGACTCTATTTTAATTTATTCGACTCTACTAGAATAGATTCGACTAATCTAGAATCGATTCAACTGTGTGCTCGCAGAAATATCGATTTTCTCAGGTACGAGCGATAGTACAAAACATTACAGATCTGATCACGTTCAACAGCTTTTGGCTTGAATCTTTCTGCAATAAGCTGTTGACCTACACAGCGTTGGAACTGAACTCGCATTGCGTAAGGATTATTAACCACAGTCGCCGACATGCCCTGCGGGGCCAAGGTGGGGAGAGACGAGAAGTTTAACCCAGATACACACAGGTTGAGTTTCTCAGGATGAATACGAGAAGCATGCGAACATATCTGAGTCATTACCAATTCACGGAAAGTTATATTTAAGTGGTATTTAACCATTAAACCTAGCTCAGCTAGGCAATAAACACTCATTTTATGAAAATCTAAAAGTTCATTAGTGTGTTCACAAGAGCCCACTACTGGCTCCTGTCCTGAGCCACATGAATGCAATCCATAAACTCCAAACCTATTCCCCTAAAATCCATTTCACTACTATCCTTGCACCTACGCCGAAGTGTTACGAGTGGTGTTTTACCTTCAGAGATTTCAAATATAATTTTGTAAGTACTTCTTATCTCCTTATATCTTGATTTGTTCATCCCAATAATATTTCGTTAAGAGTATAAAATATGGATGTCCTAATAATTCGATTTCTTCCAGCCCTCATGTTCTTTAAACTTTTTCCGCAAGACTTGCAGTTTTAATATAATTAAAAGGAAGTTTTACGCTGTCATCTCATGGTTTTGAAAATCGCTGGACTGATTATATTGTCACCCCCCTTTTACGTTATTTATAAAACAGCATAGACGTTAGCATTAACGAACTGAAAATTTGCAAGCAACGGCAAAGAACGAGCTGGGATTGTATTGTATAATTATTAACTTGCTTCTAATACCTGCGTACACAGAAGTGTTAAGGAAATCTAAAATGCAAACTCTAATAAATGGAGGGAATACTAAAACTCGTTGTATTTGATCAAAATACGAATGGATTTCCCAGAAACAATGATAGAGAGAGGTGTAGAAAAGACAGGAAGTAAACATATGCAGTAAGGACATTACTTTTGAGCCGAACAAATGTTAGTTCGTCTCAGCGCCGTTGTGGAAGCTGGTAGCACTGAGAAGCAAGCAGGAGGGAACAGCTATCTGCCAAATCAGTTGTCTGTTGGCTGGTCTACGGAGAGGTAGCGTAGTTTATCGAGCGCTGGACCGAATGTTCGGCTGCTGCAGTAGGTCGAAGTCAATGAGCTTCGTGTATGTCCAAAGTCCAGCGGGTTTCGACGTCGAACATCATCGTGGCCAGATTCTGGGATAAACTTTCGGTGACATTTGCTGCAGCGTACAAATATTTCGCGGTAAGTTTAAAATATATTCTTGTCTATATGACACTTCTTTAATTCTATTATTATTTTATTATTAGTGTTCTGTCTGACGACAGGTCCATATGAACAGGATCCTTCCATCCTTTTCTCGGACTGGGACCTATTCATATACGTTCTTGGCAGATGATCCAGAAGTGGTTTGCCATTGCCTTCTTCTGTGTGTGAATGGAGTAATTGTTGGGATGCCACGGAGAAACCGAGTTAAAGGGAAAAAAAACATGGTTTTAAGTCGTAAAACTTAAAAGGATGAAGCTATGCAAAACATAAAACCCTTATTAACGTGAAGGTACATTACGCATAAGTCTGGTAGTTTACTGACGTTTTAGAGGTGCTTGCTGCCTCCATCATCAGGGCGATGAGTGAGCGGTGCAGGATCCTAGAAGGCAGTCAAATTCATATTCGAGGCCATTAATAATCAGAATTCTCATCCTTCTAGTTGCCCTCAATCAAAGATTTGGTGATCCCTGCTACACAGGAACCACATTTTGGTTGCAACGTCTGCTGTTGATAGTGCTGAGAGGTTAGCATCACGCTCTGGCCGCATTTATAACCTGATGTAACGACTGTCACTACTCGATAATGTGTGAATGCTGTATAATCCTGCAAGTCGGTGTGGACGTGGTGATGATGAGAAAAATTCCGAAGTTACTATTATTTATCAAACCACGGTTGTCTGATCCTTACCGAGTTACATTGGTAACCGAGATATCCTAGTTAATTTTAATTAATTTGACTCGAATGAAACAACTGTCAAATGTAAACTAATTTTAAACAAACTGGAAGTACAAGAGAGTAAATCATAACATGACAAATGTTCACGAATTATTATTCCATTTATCGACACTACTTCGACTTTTCTCGTCGTATAAAGTCGAATGACATGTTAAGATAATCGATCTGAGTAAATAATTCGGAAAAAGTTCGTGGCTTACTTTAAGATAATATTCCAGCATTGTCGTGAGATAAAAGAATTTCATGCACGGTTTCAGGATACCTGGTAGTACAGACGAGATTCGAACGGGGTTTCCCCAAATAAAAGTCTTACACCGTTTTACCTACAGTATCGGTTCCCGATTTTGGCGAAACAACGAGCTAAACGCCCTTCAATACCCACGTAGTTAATTCATCCCGAGAAAATCTTCTATAATAATGCCACATCTACGAGAATTCTTGTAAAAAAAATATTGCTCTTACAGATTTACATTTTTAGTTATATCGTAGAAAAAAGTCTATTTACAAGGAAATTCAACTAAATATTGGGTATGAGTTAATGATTTCAATAATACTGATGAGTTGTATCGGAGTCGTACTCGACCTACTTAAAATATGGCTGTGTCCTGGGTTGTAGCTCCGTGTAGTCTGGTAGACATTTTCCAACAAGCAGCAAGGACCTCTGAAACTCACCACCGTAAGAACCCAAAATTGGCCAACTTATAATAATAAGAAATTATCGTCATATCATAAATAGAAATTCATATGTAATAACAAATTCTTGGTTTGAGGAAAGCGATAACATTCAATAAGACATACTTTAGTTTAGATGTTTTTCTTTTGATATGTTCTCGTGATAATGCATGTAGCTGGAGGAAATTAGGGTGGATTATCCTAGTTCATAAGTTATGAAATGTTCCAAACAAAATTTAATGCCCAAGAGCTGAGATAATTTCTGTCTGTAAATACAATTACGACCACTGAATAAGATTAAAGAATGGAACGAATAGAAATATTAAAACAGGAAGCTTCATCCCCGAAGATGGAGACAGTATGTTTCTCCGAACGTTGGAATCTATATACACGTCTATACGCCGTTAAAACCCAGAAGCCATAAACGACGCTTGAGGAATTTTGTTCAATACCTGCTTGGACATTCGTACCCCATCGTAAGCTGTCTTCGGATATCATTAACCATTTTCGTGTTGAATATTTCTAAAGATTATTTATTATAAAAGTGGAATCTTGTGGAACCCGAGTACTGTTATATTTAATTCCTATCCCAAGAACTACCTCGTGGATCAATATTATTTTACAAGTAAGTTCAAGTTAAACATAAAGTGTGTTTGAAATAGATCTGCGATTTGAGTTGTTACAGTAATGTAGAACAATAAATGGAGTTTAGAAAATAATTTAAATTTACCGCAAATACCGGGTATACAATTTATGACTTTCGGGGTGTGCTTGCATTGCGTGGTCGGCCGGCGATCTGTTGACATGGGCGGGAAGAACACGCACGCCCCGAAAGTCATAAATTGTAGACCCGGTATATTACAGTTCAATTCTGAAGATATGTTTGGTTTCCCCGCGTAGATATTGATCTGTCAGTTCGTATTTTTCAGCCAATTACCAAAAGAGTTCGCGAACCACATTTTGATAACCGCTGTGGACTAACCTGTTCGGTGATAAACGTTCGTATCTCTTCTGAATCATGAATCACACTTGTCAGTTGCGCTGTTGGTGTATCCCTATCCGATAACATTCGTTTTACTTCCCTTCCAGCAAACATATCGCCTGTATAAAGACTAGGGCTTGTACACTACTACAAAAATTGTCGGAAAACTGTCTGCGGACTGTCGGCATACACTTTGCGTCCTGATATCCCATTGATCAGTCAGTACAAAGCATCATTTAGCGTGGCTGGGATTTACGCTGGATGTCATATTTCCGAAGACAGCAAAGCTGAAATCGTAGACATGGGTACTTTCTAGGAAGTAAAAAAAAGATAATATTTTGGTAGATTCAAGAGTTTAATATCTCCATTGGTTTCGTAGTTTTCTGCGCGTGTCCCGTTGTTTTAGCTGATGTACCGGTTCAAATCTTTTTCGTCGTAATTTCAGTTTCTCCTTCTTTTTCGTTCTATGAGCATTTGCTGGGAGAGTCTTCTCAAATATTTCTGCAGCAATCCCCCCCCATTATTTTAAGTCATTAATTAAATGCAAGATATTTATTATAAATACTCTACACATCCCACGCAACTTAACATTTACATTATCATATTCTACTTCTGAAGTCATTCACATTACTGTGAAACCTATGCTACGAATAGTTATACCATTTCCAAGACGGCCTCCACAACTTTCAAGGAAAGGAAATGCAATTTACATTATATTCAATGGCTTTAGTCTGCAATAAAATGTTCCTGAACAAGGTCAGGAATTTGCATTGCCAAAGCTTTCTAATGGAGTGAACACGTAGTTATCTGTTCTTACAACCAAGGACAAGAAAAGAACACCGATATAACCTGGTCTTACAAATCAAATTTATTGCCGCGTCTACCTGTCTCACTTCTTGATTTCGAAATCTGTGGCTGCGCGAATCTTTTGAAACAAACGAAAAATAGTCTGGTCACGTGACATCTGCCCATAATGTAAATTACGGTAATAGAAACTCATCGCCTCGGTGTTTTATGAGCATGACAGACGCTTCACTTTCGCAGGTTTGGTTACACCGGTTTTGATTCACGGAAAAATTACTGTGGTAATATCTGCGCATCGTGGCGTCGATCTCGCGGTCGCCTTGCGCAGGCGCGCGCGGAGTAATACACAACAGCCAGAATGTCTCAGTAACTACGTATCATACCACACCGACTGTATTTTGACTGTACTTTTCGAAATTTTTAGAATTGAATAGTGTCCTTGTGTTCGATAATTCTTAAAACTTTCAGCCAGGAACCCCTATACCATGCCAACAAACGCCTCCACTAATGTTTTCATAATTATTAATCGCTAATTAAAAACCTTAAGTGTCACGTTTCGTGCATCCTTCGTTCTACCAATCTCATTTTCTCCATAAGGTCTTAAAGAATTTGCTGTTCGCGTGGGGTTTTCAAAAATATATCATAAGCCAGCTTTGTTATCTAGATACTCTGTGTATGTAGCAGAATCAGTACAGACACGTAAAAACATGTTTAGACTAGATATAAAAATAGTAGTTTATTATACAATTAAAGGAAATCCAAAGATGAATATTCTTTTTTTGAAATTCTTGTCCTCACGTATTTGCTTGTGGAGTACAACTTCGGCTCCCGAGGATAAGCTGTGTGTATTACACACATTCGCCCTGAAGATGGCAACTAAAATGTTTGCCGAAACGTTGGAACCCCAGAACCGAAGTTCAACACTGTCTTCTAGGGTGTTGCGTCGTGTGGTCTCAGAAGACATTCATCTTCATAGTCACAGCCGTGAGAACCTAAAATCTCACCAACGGGAAATCCGTTTATGAGTTATGTCTAGTGAGAACTACTGGGAAAATTCCCACCATGTCCAAGGTAAAAGTCGTCACACTGCAGTAATATTGTAAATATTATTAAGTTTCAGTCGGAAAACCTATGGAAAGTAATCATTTGGAAGACCTAGACGTAGATGAGAGAGTAGGATGTTAGTGTAAATGGATTAAGTGGTTCATGATAAGTTCAAGTGGTGGGATCTTATTAAAACGATAAATGTTCGTTTTCCATAAATGACTGGGGTTGCCTTAATCAGCTAAGCGACTATTAGCTTCTAAAAAAGGACTCACTCTTTTCCATTGAGTTAAATGTGTTGTGTGTTAAGAGTTCTCAATACTTCAGTCTGGTAGTAGATGACTGTAACGTCTGATTTAACCGTGCAAATCACGGGTTGAAACCCCAAACCCACGCTATGATTCTTCATGTTTCTATAGATGTAATTACGACTCACAGGCGATGAATTTGGCGCGTTGTAATGGGTGTAGGCTGGCAGGCATGTGTAAGTACTTTTTACAACACCGTGGTTCATGGCTCTGTTTGTACTGGAGGGATAGAAGCGTCTGATTGGCGGAAAATCGATTCTTGATCTCCTTAACGAAGCGGTTGTTTTCTTCGATTTTCTCGAATGGAAGGCCCGTCGATTCTTGATTTGCCTATCGACGCTGTTTCGTTTACTTCGATTTTCTCGAATTGAGGGCCCGTCGATTCTTGATTTGCCTATCGACGCTGTTTCGTTTACTTCGATTTTCTCGAATTGAGGGCCCGTCGATTCTTGATTTGCCTATCGACGCTGTTTCGTTTACTTCGATTTTCTCGAATTGAGGGCCCGTCGATTCTTGATTTGCCTATCGACGCTGTTTTGATTACCTGGATTATGTCGAATCGAGAGCCAATTGATTCTTTACTTACGAAACGACGCTGTTTCAACTGCCTCGGTTATGTCGAACGGTAGAATGATGAGTAATTATTATAAACTGAAAAAGAGGTAGAAGGTTGGCTGATATGCAGGATGTTATATTTAGACTTCGTGTATTACTCCGTCTTAGCAATGGCGGAAAGATCAGTCGAGGAAACAGATCAAAGCAATCTCATGACGATTAAATAAGACGTTATGGGAAAATCTTCCACGCTTACTTCCTTTCTGTATTGTGAGGCTGAACTAATGATTAATAATAATAAATGTATATTTAAGTTATTCAGTTCTGATATAATTTCCAATAATGAATATTCTAAGTGTTTTAAATTTATTATATGAAATCTAGAGTTATCGTAACTTCGTCGTTGTTGTAACTGTTAGCGTGTTAGAGTGACAAACAAATGTTTCGTTCAAAATTTGTACATTTGTACATAGATGACTTTTAAGGAAACTGTACGCATATTTTAAAACAGGGTTTGAATCCAGCGTAAAGTCTCATTTAAATTTATTTCTTTCAACGTCAAATTTTAGACCAGGCATAAGCAACCACCATCGCTTGTCATCCCGTCCACGTAAAGATTTAAAGTTTTTAAAAACATTGCTTAATTGACAACTGTAATTTATCTGATGTATAAGATATCGAGGTGTTTTATGTTTTCGTCAATGAAAGATCAATGTTTTTAGTTAATCTCGACTTTTGTACAACTACTTGTAATTACTTAATTGATATATAATATCACGGCCTGAAAAATGGATGCGGCCCGAAATTACTTAAAGGCTGCCATGCCTGCTTTAGATGAACTTAAAGGTAATATGCATCATGTGATCTATAATTTTTCTGTCTCATTAATGTCGTGAGGATGATTTACGGGTACCGTCTTTCATGTGTTCTGAATTATAAAATACTTGTAACTGAAAGTGCATAAGAACAATTTCCGTAAGGTACATTTTGCTATTAAGGTAAATGACAGAATGGACTTAAATGGAAATGTAACCTTGTCCTTACCCGTCGAACAGATAAAATTGTTGGAGGTCCTGACCTTTTGTTCCATTCCGGCCGACACGAGACGAGATGCGTCACTGTGGAAGGCTGTTCTGAGAGTCGCCTTATGTCGTTCATTCGTTCAAAGAGTTAGGTGTTGTAACGTGCTCCATGAATATAAGGGAGACGTCACTCCAAGTGAAAAACAGCAAATCATTGATATGGTGATGTTACCTCCGCCCTACAGATGTCCTTTCGTGTCTTTTACTCAGAACTGCTGCGTTAATCAAAGCAGGTAATTACGGTAAGACGAATGCAAAGAACATTCCATGATTTGTTCTTTGTAAGTCCTGCATTTCTGTCCATTCCTGGAAATATAAAAATATAATAAGTCAAATTTATAGTTTTATATGAGATCGACTCTTTAAGAACAGGAAAAATATTTGGGCCTATTAGTGAAGAAGTAAAAGGAAAATGAAGAAAACTTTATAATTTAGAATTATCGCCAAATATTATGACGATCAAACCAGGAAGGATGACATGAGAAATGCATGCAAAGTTCTGGTTGGTAAATCTAAGGGCAGAGATATCACGGAAGACCCAGTTTTAGATGTGAGGTTAACAGACTCTAAAAAATTAATATTTAAGAC